TCCACCGCCCAACTGTCGTATCCCTGTCCATGGCCAGACCAGTGATCAACTGGGTGATGATAAGAGTGTTGATATGTCCTGGAAGAGGGAAGAGAAGTGAAAACTCTAGTGAAAAAATGTAATGGAAAGAAAATGAGAGAAAGAGAAAGAATCGAATGAAAACCAAATCAAAAATTGATGATAGGGTTAACAATAAATACAGTAAGGACAGATACGGAAGACAACAGTACAAGTTGGATGTTGAACAGGTTTTATTTTGGTTGAGACAATCACTTACGGAACCAGAATTATTTGTGGTTGACTTTGAGGTATATGCTGTATTTGTGGTGGTGCATGGTGATGCTGGCCCATTGGAACAGGTATTGGATAGGGAATAGGGATGGGAACAATGTGTGATCCTCCACCTGAAGGTGGTCCACCACCGCCTCCACCAAGAATAATGGTTCGGTCCTAAAACCAGAAATAAAAGATGAAACAGTGAGGTTACCATTAATGCTTCTCAAAAGGTATACATTTATATAATATTTTCAGCATTTCGTTAATGATTGTCCAAAGTTACCATTCTCCGAGAATCGAGAGCAATTGAAGAAACAATCAATTAAATTATTGTCTATCTTATCAATTCAGTTATTAGAAAAAAATATCATTAATGTTATTGATTCTATATCATTTTTGGGTTTTTGCTCGTTTGGAAATCACTTGGCTCACTATGATGGTAACTTGGATGTTTTTAGACAATCAATAGCTACTAATTAATAAATTAACAATTTACTTACCTTTCCCTTCTTCTTAGGTGATACATTTCCGATTGAAATAGCAAAAAAAGCGATTATAAATAAACTTAAATGTCTCATAATGAGCGAGTATATAATCCACAGTCAGAAGGCACTTTTAGCAGCTTATAACCTGGTCTAGGAGGGAAGAGACAGACAGACAAAAGATTACCATTGTAAACATGAAAATCAATCCATCGTTGATCATTAATTGTTATAGTTATATAAACTAAATTAAATAAAGCTTACTGATTAGTAGATTGTCTTGAGTTAACCTGTTAACGAAGGAAAACCAGATTCACAGAGAAAAAGGAAAAACAGATTAACTGTTGAATCGGTAGAGTAAAAACGGTTAGGTTGATGAGTTGAGGCCTAAAGGATCTTCATTATAACCACAACAGACGATGAAAAATTGATTGTAAGACGATAAAGATGATGAGATGTTAATTGGAGGACATTTAATCAACTTAATGAGAGTTAATAAACTGATGATGAACCATTTTATATGGAAAAATGAAAAGCAAAAAAATTGAATGGTAAAACCAGTGCAACCCAAAAAGCAAACATAAAAGGGGTTGCTCTTGTAGACCCTTGCAGACCCATCGTAAGCTGTACATTGTTGAACTTGCTTCCACCCTCATAACCACCTCCAACCCCGTAACTCATCATGGTGAAAGGGGTTTAATCATGATCTTATCAAACCTCAATCAACTAAATCCTCGCCTTCAGAATCTTCAGGCTCAATAAGCATTGCTCAATAAACATAAACTGGTAACAAAATGTGCTTACGAAAAATTGGCATTAATCGCTTCAATAGACTAAAACGTTCGACCATTGTATCTTATTTACTTTATAATTTAATTTCTCCTTTAATCATTATCATAATAATCATGATCTTCAACATGTTCATCAAATCCTCCCTGTTGGCTATTGCGTGAGCGTCAATCTCATCATTACTTTTCCTTTTGCCCAACTGTGGATTCAATTTGTCCTGATTACTGTTCATTACTTGATTAGTTGATCATTATCAAAACAGTACGATTCCAGTATTTAATCATCATCCTTAACCAGAAAGAACCAGAAATTGCCAAGAAAATGGTGAAAAATGAAAATCTAATGAAAACCCAAACTCAAGCTGAGACATGAAAACATCTTAAATTGTCACAAACCTTACATTTGATTGTATTTTCAATTTCAACCGTTAACGAGCAAATTGTTTGGATTTCAACAATTGATGAAATTGAATGAAATACAATTGAAACCCAAAAAATGATACAATTTGGGTAAAAAAAGAGAGATGAGACTGGAAACAATTAGAAGTGTTTGTTGTGCCTTTAAACAGTCAATTGGTCACAAACAATGAACCTTTAATTGTAAATATTGTATAATTAATAAATTTAATGAAACGATGAAATTGGAACAAAGATTATTGGGTTAATTTGAAAATTGATTATAATCAAGCGTAACTATTATTAAACATTAATTTAGCCCAAACCAAATGATCATTTGGTTAAGTCAATGAATTCAATGATAACTGAAGCTAGACTGGTAATCAAAATGAGTGAAAGTTGATCACTCCATGGTCAGTTGAAACAGTTGATTGGTGAATGATGAAAGGTTGATTGACCTAATTGTCAATGAAATCACTGTCAAGGATTAACCACAATTTGTATTAATTAGCTAAAGCTCAAGCCTAAAAAACCACAACAAACAAATGTAATTGTCTTGAAAGTCAAAAGTGTTTCAATTAGCCAAATGAAAAGATGATTGAATTGAATCAATAGATCAATATAAATTATCGATAGAGACAATGATTTCAATGGAATAAGGTTTATTATCAAAAAGGTAAAACAATCAAAATTTAAGAGTAACTAAGGAATTAACTATTTGAAAATCAATAAGGTAATTGAAGGTAACTGCATACTTTCAGTACGCAAAGTCAACCATTTCCAAAGCCTTTTCTTAAGATACACTTTTGAGTAAAAAAGAGTATTTTTGTTTCCAGGTTTTACCTTTGTTTTTATTCATATACTCTTATTAACATGAACAATTTACCATTCCCATGATGATTTCAGATGAAGACTCGGTTTTGAATGATCAATTGTTAATTGTGTCATTGCGTTTAGCAACCAATAACCCATGATATACAAATAATGATTATAATAAAGGCAAGAGTTTATAATGAAACTGAAGCAATGAAAAATTATAAATGTAAAATGGAATCAAAGGAAGAGAACGAAGAAGAAGCAACTAAATCAATCGATGATCAACTGGTGATTAACTGTTAAGGGTTGAAAGTAAACACGATCAATTTCAAGTCTAAATTGTTAATAGTCACTGTTTTGCGCCACTCTTTTTTTTAAAATAGAGTAACATTGGAAAGATCAAAAGATAAAGACTTTCAAAGAAACAAAAAATCTAAAGGAATAGAATAATAGAAAGAGAATAGAAAAAAGATAAGCTAATTATCATTAAGTTGAACCTTTGTTTCATCATATTCTTCACGTTGAACCAGCAAGAGTTTGAGGTTGAACTTTGTCTCATTTTGTTGAAAAACCTACAAGACCATTTTAAGGTTGACAAAAAAACCGTTGAAGTAATTTTTCCTTTGTGTTTTTAATCCCAATCCTTTGTTTTAAATTGGGTTATTTTCGGGTTAACTTGAACACCTAAAAATAACCAAATAAATTAAGTGACATTAAATTGATTGGTGCTGTTTACAGAAATTGAAATCAACAAAAATGCAACATCAATTTGAACAACGTAAAAGCTTCTCTCATCCTTCTTCAAATCCAAAGGAAGGTTTATATGGAAATATACCCAAATTATCGTATGAAACTTGGTTCAAAATATTTGGCCTTTTATCCAGTGGATTAGACCATGAGCGTCGATTTGGACCCATTAAACAGGATCGGACTCCGGTTAAAATAAAACGACTTTACTGTCAATTGATTACTGCAATGTTATGGTTCTTTGCAGTTCGTGGGTTTGTGTTAATGTTTATCGATGACAAAGGCTTGGCAATCTTGATGGGCGATCTTTCCGTTTATTGGAACGATTATCGAATGTATTATCTAATGCCGACCTTTTATTATGCCTTTTCCTCTGCTTTGGTGGCAACAACTTTCCTTCTCAAGGAACGTGATCTCTCCTGGTTCATACCTTTCATGACATTCAGCCAGCATCAGTCAACTGATCCCAATGATAAGCTTGGTTTCCATCGATGGCGAACTCTTATCTTTACCCTCTTCAACTTGACCATTACCATGTGGGTAACCGGATCAATGGGCTATCTAACCTACTCGTCAGCTCGGGATAATATGGATGCTCATACTTTTAGATTGTTCATGCCCTGGCTGGTTGTCCAAGTTATCTGGTACTTCTTTATGACCGGAATCATAATGTTTACCACCTCTTACTTTAACCTGGTTTGTCTAATGGTACAGAAAAAGTTTTCCGATGTTGCCTCGGAAATTGAAACCCTGGCCGAAGGTGATCCTGGTCCACCGGGATCTAAAAACGATGACCTAACCAGACTCTATTTTGCTCACAATGATTTGTGTGAAATTACCGATGAATCCAATTCATTCTGGCAATATATTCTCTTCTACATTATTGGTAATTTTATTCCCAACTTCTGTTATGTTATGTATACACTTTTCTTTGGGGATCTTGATACACCTCTGGCTATTTTCTCATGGTTTATATTGGGTCACACCTTTCTTATCATGGCTGTTCTTTCAGTTTCTGCGGCTGATGTTTCTTCTGAGGTAAGTTTTATCTTATTTTAAATTGACTTAGGTTATCATCAAAAAGATGAGCATAAAATCGAATAGGAAAACGCCAATTTCGGTAGGAAGAAAGCTAATGCGTATTGCTATCAACACAACTTGAATCATAAAATGAAGCCGTTATATTAGAGGCAATATAAGTTGCTTGTAAGATTAACCGAACAAGGCAATCAACATAAAATGATTACTAAGTAAAAAAATTTTATTAATTGTTGCTAAGTTTGAGTTGTTTTTCAATTCTAATTTCTTTTTATTAACCTAAAGTATGGTTATAAATTCATTTTTGAGTGAAATGATGTTTTTTAAAAAGTTCACTAAATGGCGATAATCAAGTATTTTATTAGCTTTTTACTCTGTTGGCAACAGTTTTAAAGGTTTTGCTTATTTGATCATAATTCTAATTATATTTATATTGATTTCTTTGAAGTCATCGGATAATCATGATCATCCTTCAAGAGGCTTAAATTTTGGCGATTTTCAGAAAACACATTCATTGAAAATGAAACAATCATTTTTTATCATTTACTTTGCCTTTGTTATTGAAAATAGACATTAAAATTGCATTTTCATTTCATTATCGCCAATCATTACATAAATTTTGGTAGACTTGGGTTACTTTCAATTTACTTAACTGCACAATGAAACTTGGCTGTTGTGATCTGCCATCTGATCAGATTCATGTGAGTTCATTGTGTACATTTCTTGTACTGAATCAACTATTGAATCATTCTATCTACTAATAAAATGGTTAGAAACAACATAAGTGTATTGAATAGACAATTTAGATTTGTTTCTGATTAGGTAATGGTTAGATAAGTTGGATGTAATTAAATTCACTCTGTATTTGCCGTAAAACTCATCACTTTTACACCATTTCAGTCCATTCAACCTACAATCTTGAATTAAGTAATCAAGATGAAGGTTGAATAACTGTTAGCTGATACAACTGTGGAATTAACAAAGGCCAACAAATGATTAATTTATATCTGAGTAATTTCAATTGTCTCAATTGTCATTTGTTCAACATACAATTGTAAGTTTGATCATAGATATTTGATCACTAGATCTTGATTTAATCAAATCTACAGCCACAAGTTGAACGACTGGTTAGATGTAAGCAGTTACTTATTTGATGATTTACTCACAATGAACTACAATTGGAATAGAAAATTCCTAAAATTGTTGAACGGGCGAACTCATCATTTCAATCATTTACAGTCAGAATTAAGGAATCAACTGCGTCATTGATTAAAATTTTGATGATTTTTTGCTTTGTTGATGAAAGCCAGATTTTTGACAAATTAATTGGTCAAGATTGATATTAAATCCAACGAGTTATAACAATCGGGAAATTGATATCAATAGGTTGCAGTAAATCTTCGAGATCGATTTATAAATTATCAATATTAATGGTTCTGTTTATGATTTATCTTTTTCAATTGATATTGATTTATGACCAGAAATACGGTAAAAGTCTCAATCATTATTAATTACCCGATTTCATCAATAGATACATGTAATGTATCATTACAATGTTGAAATTATTTAAAAATTGATCAATCATTAAATTTGATTGACTCTCCTTATTTATTCTGAAAGATTTTACATTAGATTGATTAAAAACAGCAAAAGGCTCATCATCAATTGAAATATCAACTATAAATCTTGCTCCTTGATTAATTTAATTTACAGGCATAAGAAAACTCCAAAAACTCTATAAAATGGTTTGATTGCTAAACGAAGTTGATTAATTGTTATTTTTGTTTCTCTTTTCAGGCTCATGCTCCTTACACTTCACTTCATACACTTTCTTTGCTTCAACTTCCAATTGATATTGAGGTTAATGTAAGTATTAGCAAGATCAACATTAAGCAATTTACTAATTATTTGTCTTTTCTTTCATTTTCTATAAGATGTCAACGTTTCTGCATCGGGTTCGAGGTCCAACAATCGGTTATTCAATTCTTGATCTGTTTGTCATAACCAATTCATCTATTTCGAACGTAAGTATTCTTGATTGTGGCATTTGCTCAAATTGTCAGGCTTAGTTGCTCAAAAATATCAAGATCCATTATTGAATCAAACTAACTTGTTGTATTTTTTATACCATTTTAGACTGTTGCTGCTATCGCTTCTTACTTCTTGATTGTTGCCGACTTTTCACGTTCAACTGTTAATCAAGGATTAATCCAGAAAGCACAGTCAAAACAGAAGGCAATTAATGAATCCTTGGCGATGACAACAACTAGCTCAATGTTGGATGCTACGACAATAGCTTCAATTGGATAGAAAGAAGCATCCAAAAGAAGAAGCAACCCTACAAATGACCAAAAAATGTGATTAAAGACTAATTGCAACTAATCGTAAAAAAAGTTAAAACCCACAACAATTCACACTTATATAAATACATCTATACAATACAAAAGACAATTCAACAAAAATCGACTCCTCAAAGTTGTTGCCTTTCTCAATTCCCACAAAAATTATTAGACGACTCGGAAAATGTTCAAAAATAAAGCGTTATCAACCCCTTAAACTCCAAATGTTTGATCTCAATACAACATTCAATATTGATTTATTGATGACTATGTTAATTCTGTTTATTCTGACAATGTAAAATGTACTAAATATTGTTTGCTTGAGGGCTTTTGTAAGCTCTATCAAACGCGATAAAGCTGAGTTTCAACTCTAACATTTTTCGCAAAATTAACTTTGATATAAACAGATTTTGTCCTCGGTGATTATGAATAGAGCCAAAAGGATACTCGACAGATTAAGCGAATCTTTGCTGGTAACGATAAAAGCGAAGTTTACATGATAAACCAGTGAATTTGCGTCTTGCTTGGAGATTGAGATACCTTTGAATTATTCAACTTTCACATTTCAAACAAATTTTAACAACTAAAATAGCAATTCATAAAGTATAAATTAATTAATAAATTTACATCGGTGTATTTATAAGTTTACATTAAATGAAACTTATATTCAAAAACCAAGCAAATCACAAGAAATCCGTGGATAGCAAACAATAAACAAATAGAGATAAAACAACACTTTACTAAATCCAAACAGAGGCGATTAGTTAAACAATCTAGTAAGCATAATTCAATAATTAAACACTGTTACAATTGAATAGAAAATTTATGACATATTTCAAGATGTCGGTCAGCTTTTAAAATCAGACGATGAGAGATAAAAAATTAGCAACAACAGTTCGGGTTAAAAGACGCTAAAAATTAAGGGCAATGTAAATAAAGCTTTATTTAGTCTGTTTGTAAATTATTGAACAGTCCCCAACAGCAGGCTTTGTAAAGCAAAAAATCAAAACATCTTTACATGTGATTTTAGGATATGTCAGTACAGTTTATTTAAACACATCATTTTCTTATTTTAATATGTTAACACTGATTTTGAATGTCAGTCATCAATTTATTGTTTTGTGTATTTGAGTGTCCTAAGTTGTCGATCAGTTTCCATTCAACTGGTTGAATAGCATCATGTCTGATTCTAATTTAGATGAATCTAGTGAACAAAAGCCAACTCTTTCTAAATCTACTGTTATTTATGATGAAATTGTGCTTGATGATAACTCTGATGAGGAATCTCAAAGTGATTTAATTAATTCTAATGGTGATTCTGAGAAAGTAAATACTCCTAGCCAATGTAATGGAAATAATGGCAACATTTTGGATACTTTTACCTTATCAAGTGATGAAGAAGGAGAAAATGTTGACTATTCTGTTTCCGTTCCTGATGTTGCTGTCAAAAGTGAAGCCGATCCAGATCCGTGGAAAGAGCAGATTAATCAATGTATTGATGCTTCAATAAAGTCAAAGTAATTTCGCTACCTGTCCATTGCTCCAAACATCTATAATTATTTATTTTTATTTATCTTTCAGAGAACAAGAGACGTTTGACGAGCAATGTAAAAAAATTGAAGATAGTTTTGTTTTTTTGGAAAAAGAAATATGTAATATTATGGAACAATGTATATTGTTGAAAGAATCTAGTGAAAAATACGCTTATCCGTAAGTAATTCATTCATTTTTCGCTGCTCAGCCTGATCAATTATTTCTCTTTTTATTTTCCATTTCAGTGAAACTCATATTACTGGAGAAGGAGACATCAACACAGAAGATGCTTCCCTCAACATTCAAGAATCGGTTCAAAGAATCGTCCAAATAGACTCAATAAAACGAAAAATAGGTAAAGATGTGCCCATAGAAAGTGAAGATTCAAAAATTAACCTGGGTGATATCAAAAAGGCGGTAGAAGAACCAGAAATAGACATTGTAAATATGACCACATTAGCTGATCTACAAAAACTATACAAATTGCCAAACTCTGGACCCATTGTCAGAAAACCATTAGCCATTGGAGATCAAGTCTTCGCTGTCACAGATCCAAAAAATATGGCCAAAAGTTTATGGCAACCGGCAACCATTATTGAGACGTGTAAAATAAGCGGCAAAATCCATTACAACGTTACATTCGAAGACTCTTTTATTCCTTGTATTTTTCTAAAAGGAACTCAATTGGCTTACCGTCAAACACCTTCCGTGATGCTCTCTAATAGGAATAGAGTAATTGCTCATTATCCTACTGAATCTAGTCAACCTCTTGGAGAGTCTAATCGCCAGTTTCTGTTCTCTGGACTGATAGCCGAAGTTGCTAGACGAACAAATTTATTTAGGTATTTGGTCTTTTTTGACAATGGTTTGGTAGCCTATGTACCTTGTGATACTGTTTTCTTAATTGCTGAAGAAAATATGTCCTTTCTTGATGATATACCAGAAGAAAGGAAACCTTTTCTTAAAAAATATTTTAATGATTACCCAGAAAGAGCTTTAGTCAAATATCAAGCAGGAGCGAGAGATTATGTGGACATTGATGGCAAATGGGTACCAGGAAGAGTTAAACAAGTGGACTGCAGTTTGGTTAGATTTTATTTTCGCCAATTTGAAAAATATGAATGGCTGTACCGAGGATCACCTAGACTTAAACCTCTTTCAGGTCTTTTCAAGGCACTCGAAAATCCTGAAACCAATGGTAAAAAAAGGCATTCAAGAAAAGGAACCAGTCAATCTTCGATTCTTGGTTATTCCAGAAAACAGCGACCTTTTGTTCAATTTGTCAGAGATGAAGATAGTTTTACTGATGAAGAGGACAAGAAATATTCACCAAGATCGGGCGCTAAACGTCTCGATTCATTTGGATCTAGTGTCGAAGCTGATTTTGAACTCTACCCAGAATTTATAACTAAACCTAATCGCTATCTAGTTTCAAGTCCACACGTTCCACATCGTTGCTCTCCAAGCTGCATCAATGTTTCCTATGAAGATATCTCAAGATATCGTGACACTAATCCATACGCAATACCAATCATTTGTGGCTGGGATCGTCAAGTAGCCTGCTTCACCAATCATGTGAAAAATAAAAGAAAACGAACAATTTTCTATGTATCTCCCTGTGGTCGCCGATTCCGTAACATAGAAGAAGTTGATATATTTTTAAGCATAACCAAATCGAAACTTTCTATTGATCTATTCACCTATCATCCTAAATTGGTTTTATACTCTGAATTAAATGGTAAAACGTCTCAAGGGTGCTACTATTATGATGCTGATGTTGCTCGAGGAACTGAAAATCATTCATTATCCTGCATAAATTGGATCAACGATGAGCCAATTACTCCTGGATTTAAATATTGGCCTGCAAGGTTTGCTGCTAGTGGAGTGAATCTCGAATTAGATCCCCATTTTATGGTTTGCTGTGATTGTACCGATAACTGCCGTGATAAAAGTAAATGCGAGTGTCAACGATTAACAAAAGATAGCTTCGAAGTTATCCGTAACATACTTGGTCTTGATGATGAATTTGGCTACAACCACAGAAGATTATATGAAGCATTTCACACTGGTATTTGGGAATGTAATACTAACTGTGCATGCAACGTTAACTGTGCAAATAGAGTTGTTCAAAACGGAATTCGTGTTCGTCTACAAATATTCAAGACTAAAAAGAAAGGTTGGGGAATAAGGTGTCTCCATGATATTCCGCCTGGTGCATTTATATGTATATACGCTGCCGAGGTTCTCAATGAAGAGTTGGCTGACGCACACGGAGCCAATTTTGGCGATGAATATTTGGCCGATTTAGATTATATAGAAACTGTTGAAAATTTTAAAGAAGGTTATGAAGAATCGGTTTATGTAGACCTTTCTTCAGATGAATCAATTTCACCTGTAAGCAGTGATCAAGAATCTGATAATTATCATCATAAATCGCGTGGTCGTAAGAAAACATCGAAAAGAAAAGGTTCTAATAAAAAGTCTAGAAAAAATCCCGAGCGAACTAAAAAAACTAAAAAACCAGGTAAACCCATTAGACAATTATACGGTGAGAAAGCGGCTTACTCATTGGATGCCAAACGTAAAGGCAATGTTGGCCGTTATTTTAATCACAGTTGTGATCCCAACTGTTTTGTACAAAATGTGTTCATCGACACTCATGATCTTCGTTTTCCCTGGGTAGCTCTCTTTTCCTTAAAATTTGTACCCGCTTTCACTGAACTCTGTTGGGACTACAATTATGAAATAATTGAGGGTCGTAAAATGTGGTGTCATTGTGGGGCGAGTAACTGTCGAGGTCGCTTACTTTAACACTTTGACACTTTAAACTTTTCATCAATTTAGCAAAGCTGAAGATTTTAATTTTTGGATTTCTTATTCTGACGATGGTTTTTTCATCAATTCAGGCCATTCATTTCATGATTAAAAACATTGATTAACATACTTAAATTTTGATTTAATGAAATCATCTTTTGAATTGTTTCCTCCATAAACTAAAGTGCTGATTAAAAATGATCAACAATTCAGAATCAAGAAAAATCACCAATCGAAAGCTTAAATTCCATATAATCACCAATAAAAAATTTTCAATTCTAACCATTACAATCATGATTATTTTGTGGTAATCAAAATTTCATTTAACATTGAATCTCCATAGAAAAATCAAAAACGTGGGCTCTTCAAAGAAATGACCTTCACAAGTAGTTTGGAGGTCAAATCAACGAATGAGCTTAAATAATCTTGAAACTTTGAAACAATTGTCCTTCAATTCTCGAAAGCACGCATTTCAAATATAAGTAATCTAGCAGGTTTGGTTCGTGATTTTCAGTGCCATTAGAACAGCTTATTTGTGTGATTAATAGAGGACAATAACCAAATTGGCCCATTAGAAATAAATTGAACCATATATCAATCGAAAGCTTATGATCAGAAGAGTGTGATAATTTGATACATTATTCATTGTAATTAAATACGGCATCTTTTCTCAAATGGACTTTGAGTGAGCTCCTTTTAAAAACAGTTTGCCAAACCCATGTTAAAAACACAGAGAAATTGAGATGAGACAAAAGGCTGAAAAGCTCGCAACCTATTCTATTAAGGTGTCAAATAAATTTTGCGATTCGCTATGAAAAAAGATTTGATTGTGATCTTTTTGGGTTAAAACATTACTTATCCTTTATTAATCAGTATAAAAGAAAAAAATAAAAATCGGACAAATGTTCACAAAATTTCTAACCTCAGATTCTAAATATTACTTGCGAATCTATCCTAAGTACCTCATCTCATCTCTATGGACCTCAATCTAAAGGCTGTAACGCTTAAAAAGAAGATTATTTTAGTTCGATAAGAATGAAGATGAAGATGACAATGATAATGCTGACGGAAAAAGAAGACACAAACTGGACATTCTTATCACCCTAATATATATTTCACCGCGAGAAAGGTCGATTGCAAAGTTTTGGACTCGTTATAAGAATCAGCATTGAAAAAGATCAAATTGATCAGAAATTTGGATACATTCGAAAAATTTTGACGAATTTATTCAATAAAATAGAAAATAAACTCTTGGCAAGTTTTTTTTGCTGGACTCAAGCAAGAACTCAGATTATTCAGTAGAAAAGTAATATTTTCATGCATAAAATAAAAAATATGAATTTTTAGACTTGTTTCTATTTTAATTGTCTTGAAAAAAATCAGATTAAATAATTCAATCATATTGCAATTAAGCTTCAAAAATGCGGACTCTACTAACAGGTTGATCTTTCTTAATCAACTTTTTTTCAACAGTTCAATTTCAAAGTTTTGTCATTTTAACAAAAATTTTTCATTAATAATTCGAGTCCTGCAAATGTTGATTGAATGTATTGCACTCACGAGTAAGTAAAAAGGATTTTGCGATCAGTAATGATTAGGAGTCCACTTGTAGATCTGGAGCTACAACATCTCGTATACAAGCTTAAAACTTATGACTGATTTTTGCAAAAATCTGACCTTTTCTCAGCATTCACGTACTTTGCCAGGGTTTGCTTGAAATATTCATAAAACTATCGATTCAAATGGCTATTTACCTTAAATTAATTCAAAATTTTACCAAAAGTACACTCAACTCCAATGTCATTCAACAACACAATTGAAAGCAACGGGAAACAATTGAGAAATAATTACTTCCCAAATTAACCAGTAAAATGAACACTGTATCAAAAGTGCCTCTAAATACCAACTTGATCATTAAACACTCTCAAGCAACTCAATTGACCATTTAAAATGCAAACCAATTCAACAATTAATTTGACCAATTCAACAATCCAAGTTGATTTGAGTTAAAAAAATCAATGAATAACATTATTTGTAATTGAATGTAAAGGTTTTGAGTACCAAATGAGCTTAAAAGGGGCCACAAGATGAAAATGATGTAAATGGTAAAGATGATGAAGAAGATGAAAATGTAAAGATGAAGAGAGACTTGACCAATCAACAAGCTACAAAGCAAGCTAAATACAAGATTATCTTGTTTACCTAACTCTTTTCATTCTAGCTTTCATCCTCATCTTCCCATGGATCATTTTATCCAGCAAACGTTTTCCAAATAAGAGAGAGAAGATATTTTTCCTTTTCCAAACCGATCATCTTTGATGTAGACTTACAGAGGGTACAAATACATGACCAGGAAAAATCGATCAACATAAGGTTTGCTTGATGAGCCATAAACACGAAAATCTTTCAGTCATTCGCTAATATGTATTTATTTTCTTCTTCTTCTTCTTCTTCTTTTCCTCCTTCATCTCTCTTCTCTGTCTTCATCTTTTCCCTTACATCTCAAAATGAATCCCAAATTTGATTGAAACAGTTACCCATGAAAAGCTCCAGGTTTACCTTATTTACCTTTTATTCTTGCTCCATTTTCTGGTAAACACTTTTACCCAAATTGAGGTGGCGACTTTACAGACAAATAAAGCGAACAAAATGAAACCAAGAAAATGAAACGAAACTAAATTTGAAAACTGATTGTCCAACAACTTGCGAATGATGAACAAACCCAAAAATCAAGGTGTTACCAGACGATATAAAGTACCAATGAAGAAGAAGAAAAAGAATCGAGAAAATGTTTTTTTTCCATTTCTTTACCTTTTACTTTTTCTTTTCCAATTTAACTCAAGATAAACTTTCCAACCATTACCTTTATTATTACCGTGATATTGGCTCAGGTAAACTGGTGGCTTGATAAGGAATTGGTATTATCAGTTCCATTACTTGTGATGAGTAAAAACTAATCGCAAGCTTTCAGTGAAATTGAATTGCTTTTCCCTTTACCATGATAATTTATCAACAACAAAAGGCTTGGAATCAATCTTATTGAAGGATTAACTTTCTCACTTCACAATAACCTTCCTTGATGATAATAATAATAAATAACTCTAAAACCATTGGCAAATAATAATCCATGGAAATAACAGTGGTTAATGATGGTAAAAGATGCGTCTAATTTTATCCCATTAACAGTGAAAATTGAAATGCGAAGTACAATTGGATAACTCGGCGAAACCCAAATCTCCAAACAACCCAAAACCAGAGTTACCCAATGTTCAACATTTAACCAAAAGTTGACTGATAAACAGTGACCTTAAATTGTATCCTTTTTCAGGCTTGAAGGGTGCTTCATCAGGTTTACATTAAAAGGTTGAAATATGTTTAAAGGTAAAAATACATTTACAGATTGAAAGGCAATCCTATTAAAAGGAAAAGGTAAAAATGCTTTTACCATTGTTTCATTACTCTTGAATTAATCTTGCCATTTATCCTTTTCATATTCATAACCTTTCAACACTTGCATTAGCGTTTTGAAAAATGTTTCAAAAGGTAACCAAAAAGTTGGAGGAAAAAATTGCGAACCAATTGAACCTTAACCTTTTTATTTCCACTTGAAACTTGGCCTTTCACTCGACTTCAACATCAATGACAGCCATCAAAGTGTATTTCTGCAAACGATTGGTTATATCTTTGGGTGAATGAGGAAAAAAACAACATGATTGAAGTCTCATGAGAACAGTAAACAATTTCCGTTTGGTTCCTCTTCATTTCGAGAATTATTTCTTCACCAAACATTTCGTTTGTCTTCAATTTCGATTTTTGTTTCAACATTTTTTTCCCTTTTCCTTTAAAATGAAAACAAAAACATAACCTTTAGTGAAAACCTTTTCTTCCCCACTTTTATCCTCATCCTATCTTGAACCTTCAATATATTTATCACCATGAGTTGTGAAAGCAGTCCAAGTGAAGGAATTGCTCCAAATTGGATGGATTCTCATGAAATATCATGAAACAGTTCAAGGGCCAAAACTGTGAACCAAGACTCTGTCAAATGATAAACTTCAATATTGTACATTAAAGACAAATTATTACCAAATTTTGTGTTTTATCAAGTTGAAGAGTAAAGCTGAAAGAAACAAAATTCAGAGAACCATTAACAGCACAATTGTTCATGATAAACTTGCAATCTACATATTACAATATGGTTGGGACATGATTTGTGTTAACAAAATATCAATAAACTCAGAGGAAAAAAAGTTATGAGTCAAGAAATTGAATTACATTTGGAAAAGTAAAATGTTTGATAAAATAACAAATAATGAAAACTCCAAGAAAAATCTATAAATTCTGGTCAATATTGAATTTTTCTTCTTCACCAACTTCACCAACTTGTGTTTGTAAATGATTGTTGTATATTATTATAATAATGATGATGATAATGGTAAACATGGTTTGTACTGTTTTCATCTTTCAATGGTTCTCCTTGTTCCAGTTCATTTTCATGTTTTTTTCTTTCTCTCTCTCTTCATCTTAAACTTCTTAAACTGTTCAGATTATCATGTAATGTTGAGTCAACAGAGTAAAAGGTTGATCTTTCATTTCATCATTTTTCACTCTAATCAATTTTTATTCATCCATTTACCTATCAAATAATGTGAAAGGTAGGAAAAAAAGTAAAGTTTGTTTTTCATTTTTTTCCTCTTTTTTTGCGTTTCTCTATTTTAATAGTTGCTCTTTATTTTCACATTTTCATCTTAAATAAATGGTTCCATATATTTGGATGTACAATATTAAATTTATTGAGCTTCAGAATCAGTTTTGTTTCATGTACTCAAGTCGTTTATTATTATAATGAACAGTTTTAATATTATTGAAAGGAAGATGAAGAAGAAGAAGGTAAGAAAAGTTAAGTTGGTGAACAATAAACATGGCAACATTTATAATGCTTAAAGAGTTTCAAATATTGAACTATTTAATAAATGACAGGTTGTAAAGTATATTTAATAAATTTCATGAATAATATATTGAGGTAAAGACCAGGAAAAGTGTTTATGGTTTGTTTACTTGGCCGTTAAAGTTTCAAATTTGCTTCATGTAAATGTAGAGGATGAAAGTCAATGTGAAAGGGACATTTGGGTTAATTTAGGTTAAGAGAGCTTGTTATATGACTACTGGTTCAAATGAAATTACAGCTAACTGTTGAAGTTGCCTCACAATAGGCGCTTGTTACTCAACTTGTTACCCAAAGTTTAAACTTGCTTTTGTACAGTTATGAGTACAAATTTTCCTGTCAAACTAATGAGCTAATGTTTCACTCAACAGCGTGAGTCAAAAGTCGGTTTCAACTTTGATTCAAGCATATTGATGATCAATATTTTCTTACATGAACTTTGAATGAGCTCTTTTCAAGAACAGTTTACTAAACCCATGTTAAAAACACATAGAGAAATTGAGATGAGACAAAAAGTTGAAACATCTCTACCAATCTATCGCCAGCAAGGTTGATTGAAAAGCTTGGACTCGTTATAAGAATCAGCATTGAAAAAGACCAATCGAGCAAAAATTTGAATGCATTCAAAACATTTTGACGAATTTATTCAATAAAATAGCAAAACTCTTGGCAACGTTTTTTGGACTCAAGCAAGAACCCACAAGGGAAACGCTTGTACGATCATTTTCAATTTATATTGTAGAGGACGAAAAATAATTAGACACGTATTTTGCTTTTACGCTGGTGGCCGGTTATTGATATTTAGGCATTTTAATTAAAAATAGTAATGCATTGTAGTCACTGCAAATCACATACTAATCACTAATCAAATGAAAAGCAGAAAAATGAAAATCTCTTAATGAAAATTGTGAATCACTTTTTAATGACTCCAATAGATTTCAATGCAATATCCGCACTAATTAATAATAAGTTTCAGCTCTCTAACTCATCCGGTCACAGAAACTAACTGATTCATTTATTCACTTTGGTCACAGTTTAACTGAAAATTGAACTGATCTGTTGTACAGGAACGGAAAAGAAGCAGATATGGATGCAGATTTTTTCATGAAACTCTTTTTAATGATGTGAATTTTGATGGCTAACCAGAAGAATCAGTATTTTTGAAACTTAAATTTTCTGTTTCTGTACAACATATCACTTCGATTTTGCGTTAAACACTTCACGTGTCGATTAAACATTTTGACTCACTGACACATTGACTCTTTTATCGGATTTTTACCAGATCTAGTGCGTATGAGGTGCTAGACTAACAAGCTCATTATGTACAAGGCAAGGCTTGATTTGGTTTCTTCATTGACTTTCCTATCCAAGTCACGGTTTACGTCAAAGAGGCTGGTTAACAGATATTTAGCAACTTAGATGGACAGCCTTTTAGGTTGAATTTTAACTCTAATCCAACCCAAGAATCGCACGCCTTTGCTCATAACACAGATTTTCTTTACTTGTACAGAGTATATTTAATAACTAGATCGAGTCAGTTTCAGGGTGAAAAATTCGATTCAATAATTTTTCGAATTTAATCTACACTGAGAGTCTTTTTTCCTTCTAATACCTGGAAAGAGAAGAAAAAAAGTTTCAAGAGAAAATCAGAGTCAAGAGGAAAAGTAAACTTTAAAATGATGAAAATCAGTGAGGCTCAGAGTGAATGAAGAAGCAGAGAAATGTAAAAACCAAATTCAATTTTGTGTCAATATTTACTGGAAGCATCAATGCTCATAAAGACTTCAGAATTGAACCTTTTCACCCTGTTCACAGACTAACCCCGAAATGCTCACGGAAATAGATTTATAAATTTCATTCAATGTTTTCCATTTGAAATTACCATTGGGTTAAAATTGCCTCAACAAATGCAAATATTACATTGGAATAAAGATAAAGGGTTCAGGTGAATACGGTAGATTCATTATAAGAGAGAGGTAAATCTATCGAATGCAACAAAAAAGGGAGAAAAAGGTTGAAAATTGAAAGAAGAAAAATTTTCATTTTTATTCTATTTTTTCGAGTTGAATTTTTACACCAAGGGACTTGCCATTTGTTTACTCATCTTAACCAATTGAAGTTCATTTCACCATTTACTTTACGGCTGATCCAGAAAAGATTGGCAGGGAAAAAAGAGATGAAGATAAAGAGGTAAACATGGGAAGGGAAAAGGTAGAGAAATAAGATTGAGGAAAATCGGAAAATTCAGTTCATTCTCTGATCGTAATTCTTTAAATTCCTTGTTTTGTGACCGATTTTCAATTGATAAAGGCAACAATTTGCTTCTTCTCCATCATCTTCACCTCTCTCGCCACTATTACAGCAAAATTGTCAACATTGGATTGCATTAAATATCCAAGGTAACCAAATCGAGAGAAGAAGAGAAAAGAAAAACCTATTCTCATTTTGTCACCCAATTTTATCCTGAAAAAAGGAAGAAGAATCTTGAAGCAATTTCAATTTTACCAATGAATTTTATGCAAATTGAACATCAATTGAAATGAAATTTCAACAAAATGATGAAGGAAGAGAAAAAAATGTGATAAAAGTTAAATTAACAAAAGTGAAAAGGAAAAAAGTTACATTTTCCAAATTCATTTTCATTCCAAATCTAATGAAATTTTATCCAAACTCATCAAACTCCAATCTTGATCAGAAAAGGTTGAAACGAAAAACAAAATTTCTTCAATTTAGTCAATGATTCATTCATGATAAATTTCTCATCGCCTTTGAAGACTTTTTCGAGATGAAAAAACTTCGAAACTTGATCAACATCATTATCATTGATAATTCAATAATGAAACTTGGAAACTGAGAAAAGCTCGGAATGATAAATTTATTGATGATTTGGATGAGAGTGAAGTGAATAGAAAGTAACTTTTTTTTGAAGAAAAATGAAAATCTCTGCAAACTTTACCTTCCCAGTTGAGATGTTTTGAATTTTGAAAAATTCCAATTTCTACATTTTCGATTCATCATGCTTTTCTTGCATTTTTTCATGCACTTAACAAGTGCAACATTGAGTGAGAATGAAAAGGATGAATTTTTTTGTTTCCGAATGAAGAAAGAAAAGCTCTTCTCTTCTCTTCATAATCATCATCATTATTCTTGTTCAGTCTTTTCATCAGATTTACACCCTAAAATTGAAAGAGTAATTATATCTTTACTGAAACATTTTCTCTCTTTGAAAATCTCTACTTAATCTGAGGCCTTTCAAAAATCATGGTTCATGATGAGGCTGAACAAGAAGGAAACTGAAGAGAGAAAAAAGTTGAATGAATCAAAAGTAATCTGAAATAATCAGTTTGTAATTTGATATACAACTGAAGTCATGGAAAAGTTTGGCTTGATGAAGAAGTAAAACTTGACATTCAATCTTGCAATACAATATCAACTCAGTTGAATAACTTTTCATGATAATAAACATTTGTAATGTTTTTAAAGAAAAGAAATTGAAGCTTCTAGTTTTCCCTTTTTTTCCGTGTATCTTTCATTCCAATATCCATGACTATTTGAAGAATGCAGAATGTTATGAAGATGATCAAGATGAAGATGATAATGTATATAAAGTGAAAAACATTGTCATCAACTTTCAGTTGAGGTTAAAATTGAGAGAATCGAGGAAAAAGAAGAAGAAGAAAACTGTTTCTTGGAAGTTTACCAAAAATATTTTCCCTCATTGGGTTACTTTATCCTCATCACAGTCATCATCCTAGTCATTATCAATATAAACAAGAGCAAATTAATTAACCAAAATAATATCATCTTTCATATTTATCATAATCATCATCATCATCTTATCCAAAGAAAATCATTGAAACTTTGAAAAAGGCAAAAGAACTTTTTTTCCTGTTTCCATGAAAAAAAAAGATTGACTGAAATGTTGAGTGAAAAAATTGTTATGAATTATTAGTTTGGATTAGCATTTGATGTTTAATTTGATGTTTATATTGTCAAAGCTCAATCAAAGCGTAAGTGAAAAGTTTAATAACACAATTGTGGCATTGAAAGTGTCGGTGAAAAAGTGAATCAAAAAAGTGGGTGAAGAAAAAAAAAGTTATCCAAAGTTATCCAAGTGAATATGAAAATCACATATTGAATCAACTTTTAATTTATTTTTCTTGTAAAAAGCGTATTCTTTTACTGTTCACTTGTTTCATCTTCCGTGTTGCGATCATCATCATCATCAACTTGAAAGGTTCGAGTTTTTTGTTTTTTTGCGATTTTTTCTTCTTCTTCATTGTACATGCTCATTTTAGGCAATTTGGCCCTTTTGTATTGTACAAAAGTCTTCAATGGGAAAAAAGGTCTTTTACCAATGTGAGCATTCTCGGTGAACTTGAAGGGAGACACATTTTGTTTGCATCTTTATTTTGGATTCACTTTTTATCCCCAGTTGATCATCATACTTCGGTATGTCTATTTCACATGAGATTAACCATTGTTACTCTTATAATCATCACTTTTACCTGTACCATCAGTGTGTCTACCAATGTGTACTTATTGTGATCACTTCAATGGTAACTAGTGCATTCGCAGCTTCGGATAATGTTTACCATTTACCACATTTACTTGCTTCCTCTTCACCTTCATCTTCACTATTAAACTCGATTTCATCGACTTCTTCTTTTCGCAATAACAACCATGACAGGTCAGGTTCAAGCGGACTTAATAACCAACGTGCCAAATGTGAGACTACCTTGAATACCTGTTCTCGTGAAATGCGCTGTGCAATGGCCTTACAAGACTATCGTACTAGTTGTTCCCATTTGCTAAACAATAAAACTCGAACTTGTACAGAAAGTTGCCGGTTGGCTTTGATATCATTGAATAGTTTACCCGAAGGATATGATTATCTAAACTGTGATTGTGGTGATAACGACTTTTGCCGTAAAGTTAGACGTCGAACCAGTGTGTGCCATTTAAGGTTCAACAATCACTTAACCTCACCCTCTGCACCATCTTCATCGTCCACCTCTGGGTCCACACTTCACGGAATAAATTTTCCTTTAGACTCGATTCCACCCGCATCACCTTCAACACATTCAAACCGAGGACAAGGCACCCTTGGGTCACCCTTTTCCTCTCCATCAGCCTCTTCATTAGACAGTCATCACAGGTACAAGGGTAAACAGTCTCATCACGGATCCATCGTCTTGTGTTCAACCGCAGAGGCTCGATGTAAAGAGGATGAAACTTGCTCAGAGGCTTGGGAGTTTTTCCAGGTTCACTGTGAAAAAGTTTTCACTGGAACTGAATGTACCAAAAGTTGTAACAATAGTTTAAACATTTTATACCGTCAAAGAGCAGCCCATCATTTGGACAGTTGCATTTGTTCAGAAAATTCAATTCCATTCTCATCAAGATCACCAACACCTTTTACATTAACAATACCCACCTTTTCATCTTCCTCCTCTTCCTCCTCATCCTCATCCTCTTCCTCATCATCAACAAATAGCTTCAATGAATGGTCATGTAAACGTCGTAAAGCAAATATCAAACGCCTCTGTTTCGGCTATTCATCACCTTCAGCATTAAGTGGAATCGCTTCCCAGTCAAACTCACTTCACCATTCAATAACCCTTTATCAACTCCTTACCCTTCAATTCATCCCAATTGTTTCCCTAATTATTCTAAATACTATTCTCTCTGTTAAATAAACTTTTCTTTTGCAAATAAATTTCCAAAATTAGTCACCAAAAAATCCACTTCAAAATTATAATCTAACCGCGAAAAAACATGAATCGGAAATTCGCGCAAATCTTCATTTGTCGTGTTTAAATTTACACTTTATTTCTTGAAATATTTAAACTTGAAGCTCTGTCAAACTGTCAGTTTCAATGGTAAAATTGCTATCAATAGAGCTCGAATAAAGTTTATGAACAAAAGAGTGATTGTTAGGTTGGAGTGAAAAGAGCGCAATGCAAAATGAAGTGTGTGATTGTGCCAATTTGATTCACTCTTTTCACAACCAATTTCATGGTTTATTTAAAAATCTCACCCATCACCATATCCATGAAAGATTAAATCTCTTCTTCATCATTGAACTAATTTCCCTCCAATCTGCCAATATCAAAGTGTAGCAGTCTTTTAGGGTTACCAATTTGATGTCATTAATCCTGTTATTCAAAAACTTTTGTAACTTTGATTCCATCAATAAAAATTACTTTTCCTGTTCTCAACATTATGTCCAAATTTAGTTTTAAAATTGATACAAAGTTTGAATTTTCCCTGCAAGAAAAAAATTCTTAATCATTGGCCAAGTTTTTTTCGGAAAAAAAAGTTTCTTTTCCATCAACAATACTTTTCACTTTTCAACAATTTTGAACAAAAAATGTCTTCATTTTCATAAATTATCCATTTTTAGATTAGATTGAGTCAGTCAAGTTTGAAGTTGATCATTTTGAAATTGCCTTTCAAGTGTTCAGATAAGTCTGACTCGACGAATTGTCAAAATAGATTTAACCATTGAATAAGAGATAGAGTGAGCTTTTTTTACTCGAGTACTTTAACTTGCTTACATCGATAAATCAAACTTTTTCTGGTTCCCATTCATCAGCATTATATTACATCACATCACATTCATCATGGTTAATTGTATCAATAAGGTAAACTTGAATGAAAAGTAAACTTAGAAGTTGAAGTTTATCAATTTTTATCTTTAAATTTTCGTCCCTGAATTTGATTTTCTTTGTACCTTTTATCGAAATGGTAAAAATTCTGAATCAGCATTTATCGTTCACTGACCTTTTCCTGTATTCATCTCAACTCTTCTTTACTCTTTTTCTTTGCTCTATTCATCCCTTGCCAATGTAGATTTCATGATAAAGATTGAACTGTAAGACAGAGGCTTGGATGCTGTCAAACTCATGAAACAAGAATAAATGTCACGTGATTTACCTGAAAACGTAAGAAGATAAAGAATGACCTAAAGCTGATAAGAGACAGGTTGATAGGCTATTTGGAGGTGAGCAAAGTCAGGAAAGATGAGAAGAGAAAAGAAGATGAAATAAGATAGGAAAATGGGGATTTAAAGTAGGATCAAGGTAAGATGGATGAAGAGGGAAGAGATGTAACTTTGAAGGTGAATAGGTAAAAAGAGGATGAAAGGGAAGGCTCAAGTTTTAAAGATGATAGAAAAGGCAGAAGATTGCGATTGAAGAGAAATGAAAAATAAGGTGAATTTTCAGTTTGACGTGGAACAGATGATGTCTATTCATGATTCATGAAAAATTGAGCCGAGAAGATGAAGAGGGAAAAGTAGAAGCAGAATAGTCCAAGGTGGATAAAGATACCCGGAAGGTAGTAATACATTGATAAGATGGAAAATCCAATGTAAATAGAAAAAAAAGATAGAGATTTTTTTGTTTGCCTTCGTTTTTTTCTGCCTTCATTCCATGCTGATGATACTCAATAATGATGATCACCATCAACACCATGAAATGAACTTGGAAAACTTTGAGAAAAAAAGAACAGAAGAAGGAAAAGAATGAGATTAAAGTGATGAGGAAAACAAATGATGATGAGAAAAAGGAGGAAAAAAGCCTTGTCTTTGAGTGAAAAATACCTCTAAATGAGAAGATGTAAAAGACATTTTTTAAGGCAAAAACTGATCACATCTAATAGTGGAAACAATATTAGTAAGGATAAATCTTAGTTTAAAGTAATTTGTTTTTTGCTCTACTTTTTTAGGATAAATAAATTTTCAAAACTAATCAGGAAATAATCACAACCATTTGTAACGCTCAACGTAAACTCAATAAGAAGGGATGAAGTTAGGAAAATAGGAAAACGAAAAATTTCTACGCAAATAAACTTTTTAGTTAGGCAGAGTTAGCTCTAATTGATGTAACAAGAGTTGCTTTGGTAGGTTGAAAAATCCCATCTAATGAAGCCTAATAAATTCAATCTGAAGTTGCTAAAAATTAAGACGAAGATGAAGACAGAAATGTAAATGAATAATATTTTACGTAAAAAGACTCTCACTATATGCTAAGTCTGATGGGAAGAGAGCTTCTCCTTAGGTTGCATATTGAATCTCACTCGGCCTAACAGTCAGAATCTAACGTAAAAATAATGAAGATGAAGATGAAGAAGATGATGATGATGAAGATTAAGATGATGATGAAGATGATGATAAAGTTGATGAGTAAACAAGAGAGGAAAGCAATGATGATGAAGATAGAAATGTAAATGAATATGTTTCACGTAAAAGACTCTCACTATATGCTAAGGTTGATGGGAAGAGAGCCTCTTCTTAGGTTGCATATTGCATCTTACTCGGCCTAACAGTCAGAATCGACCAACGGAAAAATAATAAAGATTAAGATGATGATAATGAAGATGATGAAGATTAAGATGATGATTAAGATGATGATAAAGATGATGATAAAGATGATGAGTAAACAAGAGAGGAAGCAATAATCTAATGAGTCTAAATATAAATGAAAGACGGCAATGTTTAAATGTTTGTAACAAGAATGGAAACTTGTTTGCCTGATGATGAACAAAGATGAATCTTTCAGATGAAGATAATGATGCTGATAGAGAGTGCTATCCTGAGATGATGTTGAAGGAGAAGAAAAAGAAGATGGAGAGAAAAAATCAGCGAGAAACAATTCAATTATGTATCAATTGTATCCAAGTGACCAAGTGAATTAAATAATGAAAAGTGATTCCCTGTCAAAGGCGAGTCACAGTAATGCAATACAAATGATGATTAAATTGTACTTTTGGGTTGCTGGTAAGTTGAAGTTTCCCAATGAAAATTGCATGTAATAACAACAAACAAAAGTAGGAAATAGTATCAAGAAAAGGAAGAGATTTTTTTTCACTTCTTCTTTCTTCTCACAAATTCACTTTGATTTCCTCTGAATCAGAACTTTTTCCCTTGCCTCTCTTCATCTTTGATCATCAGCAATTTTTGTTTGAAATCTGTTTCTTGAAAACAAATGCCAGCCAAAAGTGAGCAAATATTTTGATCTTTTTGCAAAGTTTAACGATTAATGTTGAATTAGAGAGCAAAAAACTTTTCTGTTCAAGAAACTTGCAACACAAAACGGAACTCGACTCTACTGTTTTGGTCAACTTTGCGGGTAAACCTTTTGTCCAAGTTTAACATGTATTGACCAGCTATCAGTGATCACTTACCATTTCCGGTCAGTTTAGTTTTGTTAATGAAAGAGGCGAAGAAAGTTGTAAATAGAAAAGTAAAAGTTATCATGAAATTTCCGTTTTTGTACAATTTTATTTGAACGAGAAGAGAGAAGTAACAAAAAAAAGTTTCCTTTTCCTATTTGTTGGCCAATCCGCGAATTGATAATACCCTTTAACCCATCCTGATGAGCCACTTAATACCTTCAACTGATTTCCTTTACAATTTGTAACAATTCATTTGGAATCATGTGAACACCAAAAATCCAGAGAAAACATTAAATTCAACTTTCAATATCAAGAACTCAATTCGAACCTTCATTAAACACAAACTTTTCTGCAAATAATTTTGTCGACTCTTCACTCGCAACTCAACTTAATATGAATAAGTTCAATTTCATTTCAAACCAAGAAAACCTTTTGAATCGAGACTTGAGACTTCACATGATTTGGAGGTCAGAATTTTCGAGCAAAAAGTTCATGATTCTTTTTCTTTTAACCAAAACCTTTTCCTTCACCAACTAAATGATAATCTTTTGAAAGGCAACATTACAAAGTACATGAAATTAGGAGTAAACAAAGGAATAAAGAGAATCTTTTATTGAATAAAAGTCACTAAAAGTATATTCATATTATAATAAACGGAATAAAAAATTAGCATTACAATGTTTATCTTGTTGAGAAGTGTGAAAAAGATGAGAAAAGTTCATTACATGAATAACATTATCCCAGCGTAATAATGAAAGGTAAACTCAAATTTGTAATCAATTGTAAACATGAGGTGATCATTGTGCAGATAATCAAAAATTATTATCATATTATTATTCCATCTGTTTACCATTTTATATCCTTCATCAGTTTCACTTTCCAATCATCAGATGAAATATTCACGTGGCTCAATATAATAATATAATATCAATCTAATCAATCATTTGAGTTTTCATTTCTTTGATCAACTTACGTCTAAAGCAAGTTTTTCAGGTCAAACAGCATAATGAAAGTTATGAAGGAAAGATGATGAAGATGAGCCAAGAAGAAGTGAAAGCAAAAGTTGGAAGATGAAAATGATGAGCAAATATTGCTTGATCAATTGATCATGTTTGGATTCCTTTTCAATAATGTGATCAGGAAAGGAAAAAGAAGTGAAGGAGAAGAAAAAGGTTTTAATCCAAGAATTGCTGTGAATAAATTTGGATGTTGATTGACTATTGATGTTTAGATGATCATGAAATGAAGGTGTAAAGATAATGATTCATGAGTTATGAAGAGAAGTTTAACTCAAATTATCATCTTGACCAGTTGATTGCTCGAGATGATCGAGTAAAAACACGATTCTTGTCAATTCAAACAGATTTTTTCTTTTCTCAATATTCATATCAGATGCTACTGAACTTTCACTTTTCCCTGATTATCTTGAGAAATCTTGAAAATTGTGAAAAGTTATCAAAATTGAATCAAATAAAGTGGAATGAAAGAGAAGAAAAAATCAACAATTTTCTTCTCTTTTCTTTCGCTTTCCACTTAAATTGCTTTTTGACACATTTCTGGT